AGATGAAACAGCACTGGATGAAACAGTCAAATGATAATCAACTCTGGAAATAAGTTTGTATATATCTGTAGAGATAGAAATGATATATGACGGGAAGGTATAGGTATACTATTCAGTAACAGAGATCCTTAACGAAAATAACGAATGAATTATGTTAACGCGTTTTCAGACCTGAGCATGCGATGTAACCATTATTCAAGTAAATCAATTGGTAGAATAGCTTATACAATTTTATTAGATTCATTCAATTATAAAACTGCTTTTATCCTATTATATTTAGAAAGCCTGGATAGTACCCCTAGACGTCCGTTTTAAACGGGATCATCGCATCAGTTACGATCACAGTCAATTGATAACAGGACTACACCTCAAACATATTCCAAAAACTCGCCGTGCATAGATTGAACTATACAATACAATTAAGATCTATTGAGTTGAGTAATTAGATTTAATTTTTTATTTGATTAATAATTTCACAGTCGTATATAAATAATTTATATTTAACAATAACGACATACTGGCTCTCATCGGAGTAGAGCTCTGCATCTAGAGCTAATCTGCTGTTACTAAACGAATTTGATATAGGAAAAGAGGTTTCGTACTTCAAATTAAGTTTTGTCACCTGTTAGGGATTTCTGGTATTTGACGAAAACTGGAGATTTCGGCTTAGCAATTCTCTTTTGGCTCAGAACAAAGCCAGACAGTCACTAAGAATGTTATACTTAATAATAAAGTACCATATAAACTAGATCTCCCAGACTGAAGTACTTTTTAGTAAAACAAATTTTAAATTGTTCATAGCGGAAACTACTGAGAGTTTTAAGGCAAATGTCAAAAAAAGGATAGTGTCGATGATCGAAGTGGTGATAGATGAATTAGCTTAATGGAAACGCTCGCTGTGCACTACATGAATCTAAAGAATAGTAAGGATGATAAAGACAGCGATGTCATATATAGGAAAATAAATAATATTATAATTGTATAATGATTGACAAGTAAAAACCACAAAATGTTTTTATTTTTTTCATTATTTTAAATATTTCAGTAAATAAATTTTAATATTGGACATAGTAGTGCTGAAGAAAGTGGGTGTAAAATACATGAGAACTAGCTAAGATTTCGCAAGAATTAAATGTGAATTTTTTAATGGAATTTTCCAGTTGGCATGCGCTTAATAAAACTATTAGTCATAATATAATGCCATATGCTATTCAATATCTTAAGTAATAACAATATACTTTAAAGATAACATTCTTCATATAGGAGAAAAACAGTGTCAGGTTTGATGAAGCAATATTTTCACATTTAAAACAGTTGTGGGTCTGCTTAATAAACTAAATAAAAACAAAGAAAGTTATGTTCTTGGGTGCAATAAAGACCAACTCACATCACTAGAGACACTCACTCTCCATACAAGTTTCTCACTCTTCTCTTTTAATATATTATGTTAACTATATGTTATGTAGTTAATTTTAACTTATTGCTGAACTGTAATCAAAACAAAAAACGATAAACTCTAGTGACGGAGGATCATCATAAGAAATAGAAATAAAAAGATTATCATGAACATATATCTCAAAGAAATTAAGAGATAGTCATTAATGTCAAACGTATATCCTCTATACAATAGACAGTCAATTCCAGTAAGAAATATTATTTATTATATGTACATTGATTAGTGCTCACCTTAATTTATACTCCGTATAGATGATAAAATAGTTAGCTTATATAAGTAGTAGATAATAGTTGTAGTAACAATAGTTGTTGCAATGATAATGTTTATGTTGTAGTGTGCTTAAATGGAGGGATTGTTTGTATTATGTTCTGCTAAAGTTTGACTCGGTCACTTTTCTATCACTAATACTCGCTTTAAGCTTCTATAATTACGGTATATCTGTCCTGTTTTTATTTTATTGTTGTTATCCTTTATTGATGGCACATAGAATACAGTACTTCAAGAGATATTGATTTTTATTTCCGGTTGTTTATTGTTTTCTTGTAGATTTGTTGAAATTTTTTTTTATTTTTATTGTACTTTTTAGATTTTGGTTAGATGATATTTTTCGATTGTAGCATATGTTGTCAAGATATTTATGTACACATGATGTGGGCATGAAAGTTATGATGTAATATACAGCGTTTGAATTTTTTTTAAGGTTTATGTTTAATAACGGTTGTCGTTAAGTTTATTAATAATATATCTCAACTTTTTGCAATTAATTCTTTAATAGTCGATTTCGGTGAAGAATTGTGACAGCTCAGCGTCAGCAATACCTCAGTGCACACATTTCCCGTTGTTAAGTGTGGACAGGTAATTGGGGAAAGCGTTTCAGCTTCAGCTGTTTTTGTCTTCAACAGTAACTTTTGGCATGACAATCACTAAAAAGAAAGAAAGAAGAATACCTTCACTAATTTTTTTTAAAAACTATAAAATTTTTAATTTATATAAACGAAATATTGTGGTTAAAACTATGAAAATAATAGATAAAAATACATTATTTTACTCATATATATTGTGTATTCTACATAAAATATACACATTGCAGTAGTAATTAATCTTATAAGGTTTTGAGGAATATATCCACAAAAAAATCTAAATATAACAACATCACCGCAATCATCTATGCAGAATTTCCTGAATTCTATCGGACCGATACCCTGGTTGCGATTCATGAAATGTTCGGCATTATGCAAACTAAGTCAAAAATAAAATAACATTCGCAGACCTGGTACACAAATACCGACTATCACCTAACTAAGACAGCCTAAAAGCAACATACATATATAAAATAAGTTATACTAAAAAGACGTCCTTTGACGCCTTATGCTCAAAATGGATCAAACGGGCCTTTATATATTTATCTTATACTAAACAGTTCAGCATACATGATGAATCGTTACTCCAAATATAAATCAAAGTTGTATCAAATTTGTATATCGAGGCAAAATGATTTACATGTACTTAAACTATACACTGATCTACAATTTGGTTATACTGCTTTAACTCACTTCCTCCTTTTAAACATCACATCTTCAATGAGTCAATAACACTCATCCATATTAGATCTTAACTATATACGTAATCTTAATACTAATGATATTATCTTAATACCTTCTTTACGTTTTAAGAAATACTCTATATTTGGATTAGAAAACATTGTCTCTTAAATGCACAAATGGAGGATGAGATAAACATTTCAGAAAATAGGAACTATCAGTGGATAGATGCAATAAGAGAACAGGTAAACATCAGTTTTCTCTGTCTATCCTTATTCGCATGGTATATCTACCCATTGATGTCTCATTAGCTTGACAGCTGTTTTTTAGATAGTTCCTGTTTGCATGGTATTTCGGACAATGAGAATGATTAAGATTGTAGGCGGACTATGAAAGTCATGTAGTTCTGTTCGTTTTCAATCCATATGGCAAGAAGCGATATGTCATTCGAACAAACACAATTCCAATATGATCTATCGTACTATTTATAGTGAAGCTGTCTGTTCGTTCAGGTGTTTAACTGCAAAACCCTTCCCAGATAATAAGTTTTTTATTGAAATAAGTTGTTCTTATAAACATTCGCAACACTTCAGAATAATAAATTACAAAGTCTGTGAGGTGTTATATTACTTTATACTCTCATTCCTTAACAAATTTAGATACAGAAAAAGATTTACATGTGCTCGTAAGTTTACGATGTTAACTAAATATCTTTTTCGTATAGGTTTATGAGTGCTTTGTTTTATCAGTGCAGTAATTTAATTAATGAGACTCTAGCGTAGGTCATTTAGTTTTAGATAAACTAAAAAATATTTATTTAAGAGATTATAATAAAAAGATATACTCAGTAAAATAATATATGAAGTGCAGAACCTTCACAAAATACGTAGTATAATACTTCATAAATAAAATATATTT